AATATCACCTGTCCTGCCTCCAACACTGACAGTGAACATGGAAGGAGACTATGTCCTAGAGAAATGCATTTTCTTTGAGCTGCACAGCTGTCAGGCACCAGACCCAGGCTCCAGAACCCCGTGTCTCTGGAGGCCAGGACCAAGCCCTTTTATTCCTCACAGTCCCTTTAACGGGGACTTGGACTTATGCCTGAGCATTGCCTAAACCCGTGTCATTCCTTGAGTTCTTAAGCACATAACTTCACACTGACTCTATTTCAAGCATGCCAGAGCTGTCCGCCCTACCAGACCCGGATGAACACAATCTCCTGAGTGCTTTGGCTGGCCAGCGTCTCCCTCCTTATCAGAGCACCAACGGGCTCCACTCCTCATTCCTATAAAAATCACAGACTCGGTGTGCGGCTGCACCCTGAACTCCACTCACACATGCTACTCCTCAGCGAGGCTGAGACAGAGCAGTCTGAGCAGACTTCCTGCACTCAAGGAAAGATGTCTTGCAGAATAAACTTCCCACTGCTCCCTGAAAGACACCCCTCAAGTGCTGAGAGCTTGTAGACACCAGATTAAAAAAAAAAAATCAAACAAGGCCAAAACAGGTTTTCCAAAAGTGCCCTTCTGCAGAAATCTTTGCATTAAAGGCACTAATGGATAACCCTGTGTCCACCATTTAAAGCTATCATTTAAATCAACACAAATGAAGCCTTCTGCATGATTGCACCACAAAGCAAGATTCTAGCAGCATCTCCTTTTGCATGATGAATTTCACCATGCTACTGAGACAGCAACTAGAAAATTGTCTGGGTCCCAGTGCTCAGAAGGGAAATTAACTATTCAGGAAAGCACCGACTTTCTAAGAACAATTAAAAGTAAACTTAAAGCTGCAAACAGTAAACGCAGAAAAGATGGCCATGTTTAAATGATGAAGAAATGCGCTCTGCTTGGTTCTCACCTTTTCATTTAGACCCGAAGAGCAACATCCATAATAGAGATGAGAGAGACGGAGGTAGTGTCTCAGAAGTGAATACTTTGATTTTAAACCTTTCAGAAGATGGGAGGGTGAGTTTGGGGCTTTTATTGGGGTCTACCCCTCATGAGGGTACCCTGCTGTTTCCCTCAAACTTCTTGAAGCTTCCTGATTTATGACTCCATGTAACATAACCTCCCCCTGACCTCCAGTCTTCTGTAAGTTTCCCCTTAACCTCACTCCACCTTGAGAGGTGGAGTGCCCCGGATAACCGATGAATAAGGGAAGAAAGCTGGCAGCCCTCATGTCTCCTCAGTAACTTCCCTCCTTGGAATAATGTTCCTCCCACCAGAAGCAGTATAGACCATGCTGTGCTGATGAGAGGAAACCTTCCCTCCGCGAAAATGAATACAGGGAAATTATTCCCATCCAACAAGAAGCAAACCACTACTGAATGTCTATTTGCCCAATTCTGGAGCCCGCCACTCGACACCTCCTGGCGCCATCAACCAGGTTTAATTTGGTCTTTCTTCTAACATCATTTTCTGTCTCTAACTTTAACTCCAGAGTAGGAATATGAAAGACATTTGAGAGGCACTGCAGAGAGGTGTGAGAAGCAGGATTTGGAAAGCGAAACATGTATGACTACCATCTGTGAGCCGTTGCGTGCTGGGCTAGCTCAGAGCAGGCGTGCGGGTTGCTTTGGTAATGAAGTTGGGCTAGGTGTGCATTTTTAATCTGGAAGGTTGCCATAGTGTAGTGTTTTAGCCAGCAAACGTGATTTCCTGTAGTTATTGCTTCCTGCCTTCCTTGGGCCTTAGAAAGGACCATTTAGAGACTTTTAAGCCTAAGCCACTAGAATCTCAGCAGAAATGTGGCCGTCACTCACAGGAGAGTCCTTCAGGGGTTCCATCGTATTAGCCCAACGCTAAGAGTCTGAAGTGACTGTTAACAATGACACACACACACACACACACACAGGTGACCATAGCCCTGTGCCACCTGTGGTGAAAACATGTAAACATGCAGGAGCTAATGGCAAGTATGCCAGGAAAAGCAGTATTACCAGAATGCAGCACCAGGCATGCTCAGTACTCTGCAGAAGACACTCGACAGTGTGCCTGAAGGAAGGAAAGTCAACAGGGAATGCCATTTTATCAGCCTTGCCTTGACTTCTGCCAGCCATTTTCTTCTCTGGGGAATCTATTACCTATGGTCCTTAAGCAGTAAGTAGAAACCCTCCTCCATCTCCAACCCTGAGGACTTCAGGCCTTTGGAAAAAGTGTGCAATGCAACCCAAGTTAAAATGTGAGCAGCAGGCTTGTGGGAGTCCTCTCCAGCTCCAGCAACTGTACAAGGCACAGCAACACCCGAGCAGCAAGCTCTGTGGGGGGGGGGGGGGGTGGCGTAGATGCTGCAGCTGCAGTCCTCGAAGAAAGAGCAATGCTCGAAGACTTCTTAGTATAAATGGAAAGAATATGTACTACTTCTGCAGTTCCCACGGCAACTGGGTTCCAAGGCAGAGTACTCTTTAAAGGTTCTAGCTTCTAAGAGAGAATTTCAGGCCAGTAGGACACACTAAACTTCACATTAGTCAAGGAGTGAGCAGCGGAGATTCCAGCCTTGGATACAAGCGGCTTCTCTTTAGTAGACTTTGTGTTTTTTAAAGCTACTTAGAGACCACCCAATCCTGGGATAGCCACTTTCTTAGGCCACATCCCAGCAGCCCTGGCCTGACCACATCTGTGCTACAGGAAGTGGGCTCAAGCCCTGAGAGAGCTTGCTCAGGCCCCCTTAGCCCCCAAACTGTCCTGTTGGAACAAGAAGTAAAAATCTAGGCATCACACAACATTGGGTCTGTCTCCTAGTGTGCTTATAGTCAGAACCAAGCTGTATCTAAGTAGTCCCAAGAGAGATTCTGAGCACAGGTTCTGAGTTCCACAACAAATGCATCTCTAAGAAGTAGAAACCAGGGGCTGGAGAGATGGCTCAGAGGTTAAGAGCATTGCCTGATCTTCCAAAGGTCCTGAGTTGGCTCACAACCATCTGTAATCGGGTCTGGTGCCCTCTTCTGGCCTGCAGTCATACACACAGACAGAATATTGTATACATTATATATATGTGCGTGTGTGTGTGTGTGTGTGTGTGTGTGTGTGTAGAAACCAGAACTTTTCCCCCCATATATCATTGAATCCTCTTATTACATGGGCAGTACTAGGTACTGAGTTCAGGGACTCTAGCTCTATCTGGGACAAGTGATTTACAGCTTGGGAATTAGCTTACTTCAAATAAATATGGCTGTGGGACCACAGTTGAGATGTTATAACCCCTCATACTCTAAACCAGTGGTTCCCAACCTGTAGGTCATGATCCCTTTGGGGTCAAACAACCCTTTCATAGAGGTGACGTAAAACCACTAGAAAACACAGATATTTACATTACGGTTCATAACAGTAGCAAAATTACACTCATGGCGTAGCAATGAAATAATGTCATGACTGGAGGTCACAACATGAGGAACTGTATTCAAAGGGTCACAGCTGAGAACCACTGGCCACACCAGACATCCAGCCTTAGCCTTAACCCTTTCTAGGTTTCATCAGGAGCTTCCACAAGGGCAGCAAAGCTAAGGCTTCTATGAGAACCTCTACCCCACCGACTAAAAGCTGAGACTTTGGTTCATCTGCAGAGTATAATCACTGCAGTCTTTCACGTGCATCGTACTAACGGGCATCCTCCTGTGTGGGTATTCACTTGCTCCCAGGCAGAATCTCTGATATACCAGAGAGGGGCAGAGAGAGGAAGCAATTATGAGTGGCAGAGTCAGGAGGACACAAGGAATGTCTGGATTATTTAGTTACCAGTGTGTTGCTAGATCCACTCCAGAGCCTTCTGAAGGACCAACTATCTACCAACCACCCACAGCCCAGCACATGAGAGTCTGAAGCTGGAATCTGACAGAAGTGGCTTCCTCCTCCTGGGTGTCAATGAGAATGCCCAGAAAGCAGCTGTGTCTGCAGGCAGACTGATTAGGAGAAGCTGGGATGTTACAGGTTCAAATGCTAACCACCTATCTCAAGCTAACGTCAGTCCCTCGGATGGCCTCAACACGGGTAGCTGCTCAAAGCTCAGCTCAAGGCCTTGTCGGAGCAACAGATTTGAGAAACCTGTGACTGTGTGTGCATATGTACATGTGTGTGCGTGCCTATAGGTGTGGGTTTCATAGATAACCTAGGATGTCATTCCTCAAGATACCACAGTAACTCTCACTGGCCTGGGACTCCACAAGCAGGCCAGGTGGGTACCTAGACTGCCTCTCTTGACGATGCCATCGTTAGGCACACATGGGTCAAGCACCCGTGGCTATGCCTGGCTTTTTTGTTTGTTTGTTTTTCGAGACAGGGTTTCTCTGTAGCTTTGGAGCCTGTCCTGGAACTAGCTCTTGTAGACCAGACTGGCCTTGAATTCACAGAGATCCGCCTGCCTGCACCACCACCACCCAGCTATGCCTGGTATTTTTTAGATGGGTTCTGGGAATAGAACTCAGGCCCATGGCAAGCACTTTATCAACAAACCAATCTCCTTGGACCCTTTGTATGCCCCTAATTCACAGACTGAAATTAAGTAAATCAAATACAAGGCTAAAACCTGTGTGTCTTCCAATACCAGGGCACTGGGAGTCTTTTTTCGGACATAAGATAATCAACTAATCAAAACGTCTCCCTTACCAACGCATAGTCTGAGCTCTGGCAACTGATCAAAAGGTTAGCATTAGTAAGTTCACATGAGCAGGGAAACGGGGCAGGTACAACTCTGCTCAATTAAAGGCAGCATGAGGAACTTTATTGAACTGTCTTTCCACCGTCAGCATCTACTACTTATATCTCACACATAAAAAAGCCTATTAGGAAGAAAATGTAAATGAAATATTATAAAGTGTACTTCTAATGAAACATGGGCTTAATAGGACATGAATATATAAGTTCAGTGGTTTTATTGCAGTTAGAAAAATTATATTATGAAAGATACAAAAAAATCAATATTATTATTTGTTTATTTTACAATCAGTATGCCATCTTTTACCATTATGGCTTTAAATTTTCATTCTACCGAACAGGTGTCAAAGAATAGTTTAGTACATGCTTTAATAAAACAGTTAAAATATTTACAAATTCAAAATAGATGTTTTTGTAACCGAAAGGTTCACCTGAGAATTCACTGTGACATCGCCGTTTGCTTCTCTTTTTTCCCAAGTTGTTAACGTAGATGTGTGTCCTCATGCCATCTCCACTATCCCCACATCATTTATGTTGAATTCCTAACTTAAAATTGGCTAAGCATCAAGCTACAGTAAATTGTTATAATGCTTGCAGGTGGGCAACCAAAGTTATATCCATTTTTATTCTGAACATAAGAATTTAACAAATTATGTGCTTGCAGCTATAGGATTCAAATAAGGGGCAGAAATTTAAGAGGACATAATTGTACTGAGTCAGACATGACAACTTAAAAGAAATCACCAGGCATTGAGAAGGCTGGATCATACAACGAGGAGCAATGATTACAGGAATATGCAAATAACAAATGAAAAACATCATCAAAACTCTGCATGAAGGAAAAAGCATATGTGTACACATATGATCCTATCATTTGTCTTCGGCTCCCCCCCAAAAAGAATATTGCCTTAAAACAAATTTTCTTAGAAAAAAAAGTCTTTAAAAGTTCACGTTAAAATAGGCATAAATGTGTAATGCTATGCAATATACAGACAACTTACCCACGTCATGGCCAAAGACAAAGGTAAAATCTTTCCTGTCCATCCAATACAACTCGAAAATCACACAGGAATGAGGTAGTGTAGTTACTTGTATTATATGCTGGCTGTTAAAAGTAATGCTAAATTTTAAGAACTATTACACTTAGCCAATTACCAAACACCATTAAAATTAACCCTTAATGCTAAACGTTCAAAGGTAGAAAGAAATTTAAAGGAAGTGTCTTAAAAAGTATCTTTACCTTGAGAAGAGAACTGGGTCTTATCATGAAATGCTAAGTAACTTTCCAAAGCAAATATTTACAGTTACATTTAAAGCAAAAAAAAAAAAAAAGGACGTGTGCACACTGATGGCAGACAGTCGAGTGTACAGCGAGGTAGGAAACCAAGGACTCCATTGGCTTGTAGAAGATTTTACACTTTGTAAACCAGAGACGTTTTCATATTATTTTACGTTGTTGAAATCTAAAATTACAAGTATCAAACAGCTGCGTGGGGACATATACATATATATACACAGCTCTTTGTCACATGGGATGCTTCGTCACCGTGAGCGTTCTCTCCCAGACAAACGGAGGTCGGGACTTTTCAAAGTTTCTAAAAGATAATTCCAATTTCATTTTCTCTTCCAAAGATAAAATACACACTCTCCTCCCTCCCTCCCTGCACCCAGGAGAGAAGGGCATCATGACAACTAATCATACTGAGGCTGGGCCCGCACCTCCTCACGGCAAGCACCAGCTAGGTACCTACCGACATGATACCGCACTCAGGTGGCTCTCTGGCGTGCTCTCGCCCTCTCCTTCCCTCTCTAGAGGCAGCACGCAGTGAAGATGAGTGTCTCCTCCAACTACCTGACTTGGAGAGATGGCATCCTATTGACTGCTTCTTTAAGCACAACTCTACAAACACTCCCGGGAGCGTCCTGAGAGACCCCCTTATCACAGGTGTTTGAGAGCACAGGTGCCTCACACTTCAGATTTTCCCCGTTTGTCAAATATCCACTTCTACAGAATGTAGAAGCTTCTACAGTTAGCTTGAAGGTAAGACCCTCCCCCAAAGTCCTAATGAAGTTCCCATGTACCTTACACGTGTATCCTAAAGAAGCTCTCAGAAGATTCTGAATATCCTCTTTTGCCTGTGGCCCACCTCATGAACTCAGGACTGGAATATCCCACGTCTGCTATCAGCTAGGTACTCAGAACGTTTCCAATTTTAAGGCATTTCACATTCCTTGAATCGGGATATTGAACTTGTATATATGATGCTTTGTTTCTACTGCTGAGGTCTATAGTGTGAGATTCCAGAACAACTAAGAATCACTGCAAAATGTTATGGAGTAGATAGATGCTCAGATTATTATAAATTCATTTTCTACCAACATTAAAATAAGCACAAGACTGACTTGTCCATGTCCAAGTCAAAGTGATGCAAGTGCCTTTACACCATACCAAATTGGGAGGCAGGGATAACAGGTTCAATCTGCTTCGCAAGTGCGAGCCCGTAATGGACTGAGCACAAATTTTATGGTTTCAAACGCCAGCAGAGCTGTGGCTCCACGCTTGCTCCAACAGAGCTTTTTACAGACCGCAGCTCTTCCTTAGGATGCTAACGAGCTGCACCTCTGGTCAACATAGATATCCCCCCCCACACACACACACACATATCCTAGTGCCCTCTTGGGCATCGGTGACCGGCAACGAGACTATGAATGGCCTCGTGCAGTGTGGTCTCCAGATCCGTGGCAACTGTGGTTCTGTCCAGCTTGTGAACACTCAGGCCACTCAGCCTAACTCCCATTTCTTCCTCCAAGGGACAAGAAGGGAACAGGAAATCCGTGACTGGCCTAGACATGGCAGGAACTGCAGACGGGATCAAAGGAGAGAGCAGGGGAAATGACAACTATCTACTGTTGGTGCAGCCAGAAATTCTAGTCAGTATTGAGGAGGGGAAGCCTCCAGCACAGGCCGCTGTGGCCCTTCACTAAGTCCTGCCGGGGCAGCCTCAGGTCACCGGGTCCAGTCCAGGCTGGACTTTGATAGGAGCATTAGAGTTGGAAGATAATTTCTTTTCCGCGTGACAGCTCTACACAGACACTCAGCGCTGACACGCCCCTTCTGGGTAGATCGCCACCGCACTGCTTGGGGAGAACTTTTTTTCTGATCAGTATTCTGAGATTACTGAGCTTCCACAGGCCAGGAGGACCGGGTGCAGATGTTGCCAGCTGGTGAAGCAGACCCTGCGGTTTTCACTGTCTTAGTTATTTTGAACACTGGGAGATTATTACTCTACATTTTCACATGTGATTTTTCGGCATCTAAGAGGTAAATCATGTCATGTCTCCTGTGAAAACCAAGGAGAACTCAGGGTCACCTTAGAAGAGAAATTCAATTCCCTCTCCAGAAAGCTACCGGGGGAAGCAAGGCTACTGAAAGCAAGAAGACACGGCCATGCGTGACTCTCAAGACAACGCCAAAACTTCAGTAGGAAATCCACGGCTGGAGGACGCTCACGGTTCACTCATCAGTAGTGCACTTGTCAGTCATCTGCTGGCAGAAGTCTGAGATCCCGCCACTCTGCCGGCAGGATTCCAACAGTGTGGCCTGCTCCAGGGCGGCTGCGGTGGTTGGCGCGGTTGTCTGGGACTCCTGCCCCGGTTCCTGGCCTGCCTTGCTGCTCCCTGGTCCACAGGGGAGTGGCCCATCAGACACGCTGAAAACTGAAGGAAAAGCAAGTTCACCATCAGTACTTTTTCCTTTCTCTGAAATTAGAAAAGAAAGTGGGCAGTCTGAGGCCGAGTACTTGGCGAGGATCTGAATCTGCTCCTGACTCAGAGCGGCTTCCTTGCACACTTGCTGGCAAAGTCCCGTCAGGTTCTGCTTTGTTTCACCCAGCGTTGACAAGATGAGATCTCGTTCCTTCAGCAGGCTCTCCTTTTCACTTTGCTGTGCAGAGGGGAGAGAGAACACAAGGGCTCGTGTTTATTGGATCCACCGACATTTCTAAGGCAATCAAACATTCCACATCCTTCAGTAAGATCACACGGGATGCTCTCAATCAACTCAACAACACATGCATGTCAGCTCACCACACAGACACCTGCATACTCATGTGTCCCACAGCACTTTCACAACAGCTAAGTCACGGGACCAACCGAGGTGTCCGACCCGAGAAAGGGAGGATGTGGCATAAGCACCCCATGGAATTTTTCCCACCATAAAGGAAAATGAAGTCGTGTGATTTGCAAGAAAATGGATGCAAACTGAAGTTTGTATTAAGTGAGTTACACCAGTGTTCAAAACACAAATGTACCCTCTGGTATGTAGGTCCTAGACTTTCAGATAGACACATAAAAATCACATATGATAGGAAAGCAGAAACAAAACAAGTCTAGAGAACCAGAGGAGACTAAACAGGTAGGGGAGAGGAACGTCCTCAATAGATAACATGCACTTGTACAACAGCATCCTCAGGCCATGTGGTGTAGCACCATGTACCAGGAATATGTAAAATTTAAAACTGAACACACACGTTAAATATCAAAAGTTCATGATCCTTCATCCAAAAACTCCTAGAGACAGACCTATGCTGGAATTCCTAACTTTTCACACTATAGAAAGATAATACAGATGTGCACACAAGTGCTCCATCGTGAGCAGAGTTAGCATCATCGTTAAACATCTCTATACTTATAAACAAAATACTAAAATATCAAATAAGGCAGAAAGTGGGGGGAAACTATGTATAGCTGGTTATCAAATTTGGATGGGGTCTAGCCAAAACTCTAAGACAAGTTCCCTGCTCTGAGTGTCTGAATCTAAACTGTGGAGAAGTGTGGACATGACCTTGTACGGACACCAAGGTGGTGTTCCTGGTTTAGCCACTGTAAGATTCAGCTAATGCCTGCTTTCCTGAGATGCAGCTAAGAGCCCAAGATTCTGGCCTGCAGGCAGAAGTTGGCACCAGATTTTATTACTGGTGGTTGTGAGCCACCATATGGTCGCTGGGAATTGAACTCAGGACCTCTGGAAGAGCAATCAATGCTCTTAACCACTGAGCCATCTCTCCTGGCCAATGCTTTCCATATGCAATCTCAGCTATATGATCCATACAGTGACTAAGTAAACAGGAGGAAGATATTAGCATAACACAGAAGGCTGGAAAGAGCTTATACAGTGAGTATAAGGATTGAAGGGCTTGGTCTGAATTTATTGCTCTCACTAATGTGATTTTTTTAATCCCTACAAGAACATCTGCCACAAGACTTTTTCAGGTTTTCCTGTCCCTACCTCCTCTGCCCACATCAGGTACCATCACAAACAACACATCCCTTCCACCCACCCATATCCTGCCTCCTCTTTCACACTCAACCATCTCACTTTTTAACCTGCGATGAGCCAGGCAGCCTAATCATCAGGTAAAGTGAGAGTGAATGAATGGCTTCACCTGTGAAACGAGGGGACCAGTGTCTGAGGGACCAGGGCCGCCTCTGCCTCCTGCCTGCCCACTGACTCCACAAGGATAACGTCTAACTGCCATAGTTTACGTCCCTTTGGGCACAAACATAGGTTCAAAGGTCGTAAGGATTTTGCTAGATACGTTAGTACCATTACAGCTTTATATAAAAATATTTCTACAAAGTTATGCAAGAATTCAATTATTGATGATTTTTTTTGGAAATACTAAGATTATATAAATTTTTAAAAAAGGAATTCCTTTATATAAATTTTTATATTGCAAAGTAATTCTCCAATTTGTTCAGATTTCTAGGTTTGCTTTATAATAAAAAAGAACAGATCAAGAATGAAGGCACACTTCCTGTGTGCACGCTAGGTCTACATTCAGACATTTTCTCCTATACAGAATCTGTCAGTTACAGGCTTCACATAAAATCAACCTATGGGAGCCAAGGGGACAAGAGCAGCACTGACTTCCACCCCTGAGAAAAAGCACATTCATAGCATTTGTATCCTCTCTTCCTTGGACGTCTCAGAAGTGCACCTAACAGAAATGAAAATGAAGACCTCGGAAGAAGACGAGAGCCCTCTTTACCCAGCTACAGCCATACGCCTGTCTCGGTTCTTCTATCGAACATGAGATGAAGCCATTCTGAACAGCAATATATAAAATGCCAAGTGATGCTGGTCTTTGAAACTAAGGTTAGCTTTAACAGCGGGCATCTGGGCTCCTCCCACAAATAGGAACCACTGCTTAGAGATGGCACGAAGATCACAAATATCTCACGATGTCTGTACCTTCATGTAAACATCTATCTATCTGACCCTCCATATTCACGCTCCTCCTGCCCCACTAAGTAAGAGATGACTCCATTCATTCAGAACATCCAAGAAGAGTCTGGGGAGATGGCTCAGTGGATCAAGAATGCTTGCTGCCCAAGTATAAGGGCATGAGTTTCAACCCCCAGAAACCTCACTAAAACTAAGTGTGGCCATACACTGCTCCCCAGTGCTAGGGGGAGAGGAAGGAGTCAGGAGGATTGCTGAGGTTTACTGGCCAGTCTAGAAAAAAAAAAAAAAAAAAAAAAAAAAAAAAGGCAAGCTGCAGGTCTGCTTAAAGATCCCTATTGGTGAGGGAAGTCCTTCTGTATATGTGTTGCTTTTATTGATTGGTGAATAAAGAAGCTGTTTAGGCCTCTGATAGGGCAGAATAGAGCCAGGCAGGGAAACTAAACTAAATGCTGGGAGAAAAAAGGCAGAGTCAGTGAGAAGCCATGTTGCCCCACTGGAGACAGACCTGGGGATGGAACAGGCACAAGGTCCCAGGTTCAATACCGGGGGTGGGAGGCATGACGTCTCAGTACCCCAACCTCAAATGCAAGCTAACTCCTTAAGATTATAGTCATGCATGGTCCTCGACAGCAATATGTTCTAAGACATGCCTTATGAGGCAACTGGGCCACTGTACAAACATCTAAATGGTGCCACCCGCAACACACGTGGGCTGTTAGCTCCTGGGCTACAAATGTGAACAGCGTGTTCCTTACTGACGCTGCAAGCAGCAACACCAACTCCCAAGTGTTTGCATATCTGCGCTTATCTAAGCACGAGACGGGCACAGTAAAGATATGGTTCAGAAGGCTAAGAATGTGCACTTGCACAGGCGCGTGCGCAGTGGCGTTTCCAGGCCTGGACGCTGTTCTGGGTGGGAGGGCGAGCAAGCGAAGAACCTGGGACAGGTCTGTGTACACCAGGGCCCTTGCAACTGCATGTTCACGCTGTACTAAAGGTTTCACCATGTTGGGGTTTTTCTTCAGTAATATACTTAGTTTATTATAAATTGTTTACGTTACACCTTAAGTTTTTTAAAATCTTTTGACTCTTTTGAAATAACACTCAGCTTACAACACAGGAAGAATAAAGTAGTGAAGACGAAGAGTCCAGGCTTGTGCCTAAAGTAAGTACTAATACTGTGCAGCCGCACCAAAGTTGTTTTCTCCGTCCTTAGCCTTTCTTGAATATTTTCCCCTTTCCTTTTTTAAAGTGTTTCACCCACTGGCCCAGCCTGCAATGTACCAGCAACATCAGTGTCCCTGATGACACCTGCACACTCTGCCTTCTAGGGTCTTCAGCTGTGTGACACACATGACCCTGTCCCCTCCTGTAACTGCTCCAGGCTCGCCTTGCAGAAACAGGTGCAAGGTGGTGTGTTTGCTTTATGATCTCCATCATATCTGCAATGAGTGGATGACGAACACTCGCCTCTGTTAGGGAAGCCTTCGGGGGGGGGGGCACTTTTCTATTACATGTATTTACTTGGGGGGTGGGTCATGTACCATGTCACGTATGTGGAGATCAGAGAGCACTTTGTGAGAATTCTCCTGACCCACCACGTGAGCCCCATAGATTAAAGCCAGGCTGTCAGGCTTGGCACCAAGCTCTTTCCTCACCACAGCAGGTTGCTAGCCTGCGAGTCAGCAGCGGCCACTGAACCCTCCAAACGTTCTCCTGCAGCTTCCCTTCCCCCACCTCATCCTCTGCAAGGTGACAGCAACCCAGCAGCTTCTCCACCGCGTGGAGGGTCAGCTTCGGTGGAGCACTAACAAACCACTGTACACTATGGGTCTGTACTTTAACATTACGTCTTGTTTCTTCCGGCAGTTTCCTTATTCTTATTTGCTAAGAAGCACACCTTCTGACCATCTTTGTCTGAGAAGAACATCAGTGGCAGGGCAGACATTTATAGCGTGCCCCTTGCCTCTGCTACTAGGGCTTGTGCAAATTATTAGACTGAGAATGGTAAGTACTGAGTGGGGTGCAGGGACGGACACCCACAGCCCTGCACCACACACAAGCCAACAGGACTCTTCAGGCTGGCTTTACGGATGAGGCCAGTGGCAGAACTGAGCTGTGGACACAGCAGCCCCACCGGCGGCCTGCCTGGCCTGCTCCGAAAGGCAGGACTGTCATCTCCCTGCTATGGTCTCTGTCCTCAGTCATACACAAGAACATCTAAGCCGCTCGAGGCCGGTCCTCCTTGTTCCTCCCAGACATTTAGTGCTGACCATAAATGTTACTTGTCCTCTTGAATCCCTTCGGAATTGGGGGCAGCCCACTCATGGGTTTCTGGAGGCGTTCTAGTTTCTGGTTCCACGTTAGTCACGAGACGTGGCTCCTTTCTCTGGCCTCAACCACAGCAAATTATCCCGTCCACTCTGCAGATGGTTCCTGGATTTTGTAGCCAGAGTCCAAATCAATACAACAGGTAAATAGGAAACTTGCCAATTTGGTTTCTGAGTTCACAAAAAGGTCTGAGAACTACCAGTCTTGCTCTGGAAAACCATCTTTCTGTTGACCAGATGAAAGGAGCTCTTCTGGGCTGAGAGGAAGGGAGAGGAGGAAGCCCTACCAGAGCTCACAGCTGTGCACAAGCTAGGGCCATCACAGAAGAAGGCCTCAACTGAGAACCTATTTCTGACAGAATGGCTCATAGGCCAGCCTGTGAGGCACTTCCTTGATCAATGATCCCTGAGGAAGAACCCTGCCCACTGTGGGCGGTGCCACTCCTGGGCAGGTAGCTGAGCAAAGCCACGGAAGTCAATAAGCAACACTTCTGCAAGCTCTCTTCCTCAGTTCCTGCTTCCAGGTTCCCACCTTGAGTGCCTGCCCTGAGGTCTCCTGCTAGAAGACTGCAGTGTGGAAGTGTGAGCCAATTGAACCCTTCCCTCCCCAAGTTGCTTCCGGTTGTGGTGCTTATCACAGTAGCAGAAAGTGAGCTACGATGATAGAGGACAGCAGGGAGGAAGCCAGCAGAGCTAAGAAAACTGAATGTGAGCCAATGATGATATGGCCGTAACAAGAAACACTAGCATTTATTGAGGGCTATGCAGTAGTTAATTGTTGGGACTTCTTCTGACACATTAATCCATTTGCTCTTCGCGAGCGAGCGTTGTAACTATAAAGTGGTCAGTAACATTATCCCGCCCATGCTTCGGCTGCATCTCCTGTCCTCCTCATCACCCTAGATATAAAATCCTGCAACCCAGCTTCTGCATCAGTCCCCAGACACAGGACCTTCGAGCCTAGCTACACTCAAACACGCAGCACATTCCCTGTGTATAAAACAAAGTAAATCTTCATCAGCCTTGTTTATTTTTAGGAAAATGAGAAAACTGGTAAATGCTACAGATGACTATAAATTCTGACCAGCTGAGGGGAAGAGAGCAATGCAGGAAGCAGAAAAAGCACTCTAGTACAACCCTACACCAGCTTCAAATAGTTCCCCATAGCCCAAGAGTGTGAAAGCATCTAGCACAGCACCTAACAACGAGCAACACCCTACAAACTCACCCTTCACAGGCATGAGCACTGGAGTGGGCTAATACGGAAGATTACAGTTCATAAGGTGTGCGTAGGCCCGGCTGGCCGTGAGAATGTTGTGATCCCAGGAACTCTAGTTACTCTGCAATCTCATCCAATTTCTCCTTCATCGTTTTAGTTAAACTATACCCTTTCCCTAAAGTATGTGCACAGTGCATACATAATAAAATTTTATGTTTCAACTTCTGTTAAAGCCACACAGACATATTTTCCATTATACTGTTTCTAGTCTCACCCAGAGCTTGAAGATCAGTTGCAAACACAACTGGTCTCTTTTTTTTTTCACCCATGATTAGCAAAGACACAAAAGTGAGTATTTGAGGACTCGTTTTATTGCCTCCAGGCTGCTGCCCTGCTGGCCTGGCCCACATGGAGCCCTCAGCTGGCCTGGGACTGGAGCTTCCTCTCACACAATACCTCCACCAACCACAAGCGGAAACTAGAAATGGGAGCAAATTAATATGTCTTCCAATTAGTTTATGTTCTGAAGCTGGAAGAGATAGGTCCGATAAGCAAGAACCCATCTCACGGAGGATCCTGCTGCATCTCCTAAGTTTCTATTCAAAGCACAACTTCACATCAGGATTTTTCCCTTGGCAGGGAGACACTGGCTCATCTGCTTGGTTTTGGTATCAACCCAAACAGGTAATTCAGGTCCACAGTTCTACCCAACTGGAAAACAAGTTTTTATAGACATCAAACATCATAAAGGACTGTATAATTACTTTAATCTTTATTCAACTACTAAGGATTAGCTAGAAGAGTCATTAAATTGGAAAATCATTTTAATAAACCAACTCAGAAATAGTTCCCCACCTGCACATCTCAGCATCTCATGCTAAAAATGCAGACTGCATACATAAGCAAAGCAGTCAATGAAACCTTGTTTCACATCTTCTAATCTTTCTGCACATCTTCATTTCTCTTAAAATGGTATTTGGACTCTGAACCTTCCTTAGAATTTAAATAACTATCTATAAAATGCAAGAGCAGGGCTTTAATAACATTGAGAAACCCGCCCACTTACCAGCTTCTCGATTTCTGATTCAAGGTTCTGAATACAGTCCAGTTTCCTCTTGCGACAGCGCTGTGCGGCAATTCTGTTCTTACTCCTCCTGCGGATGTCATGGATACAGTCCAGCTGCTCTGGGGTCAGTTTGTGCATCTTCAACAGGGACTGGAAGTCATTCCGCGAGAGCGAGATTATTCGTTGCGCATTAAATGGCAGTTTTACCTGGGATGTGAAAGAAACGTCAGGAACCATGACTACTGTGAAGACACACGCTGCACATCGGTTACAGATGAAGATACACACTGCACATCAGCTACAGACGAAGACACGCACTGCACATCAGCTACAGATGAAGACACGCACTGCACATCAGTTACAGACGAAGACACGCACTGCACATCAGTTACAGACGAAGACACGCACTGCACATCAGTTACAGACGAAGACACGCATCACATTCCTCAGAGTTTAATGTGCTTAACGTGTTATGAAAAGACCTTGGGGCTGGAGCAATACAGAACTTCAGAGTGCTCCCTACCCTGGCAGAGGAGCGCCCGTCAGGTCAGGCAGCTCACCACTGCCTCTGACTCCAGCTCCGGGGGATCCCACCCTCTGCTCTCTGCGGGCACCAGCACACATATGCACATGCCACACAGCCAAACAGATATGCACCTAAGTAAGATAAATCCTTAAACAAAGGCCTCTGCTTTCCAGTTTCTACAGAATCCACCCCAGTAAGAACGGACAGTTTCGCTGACGACTCCTGGCTGGGAGAGCATCCAGAAGCAAACACTGCAGTGAACCAGACACAGCCACCACACAGCACCGCATTCAAACTGGAATTCATCTACTGCTCTACGGTAATATGTACTTTACTGTCTACTACGTTAACAACTTCGAGAAGTTTCTCCCTAACGTATTTTTAATGTGCAATAAAATCCCCTTTATCTTTGAATTCTACCACACAGCAATGGCGCTGTGCAGTCCTGGAGTAATTGTGCCAGTCATCTCTACAGCACTTCAGAAAACTTCTGCCAGAAATGTAGCTGCATGCGACTTACTTAAACACTTGCCAATGGAGACACTGTGAAAACGAGTTAGGAATACTTTTTCCTGGACTATTTTCTCATCTGTTTTAAAGGCTCCAATGACTGCACCCCATTGGCCTTGCAATCCATCTCCTCCCAAAGGCAGGGAAAGGCAGCCTCTTCAGACTAACACCCTCGACTCGCTGCAAAGCGAAAGACCACGATGAAGACTGGGCATGGAGAAATGGCTCTTTGTACACGGCTGGCGGGGACCAGCAAGCTGCTACAAAAGCCACCATCAAGCTCTCGCAGAAATGAAAACTGTGTGCATGCCATGTGGCCCGGAGTCCCCTGAAATCAGATCTCCAAGTGACGTCTGTCTTTCTGCATTCACTGACAACGGCCAAGACAGACAGACTGAGGTGAGCGGATAAAGAAACGTGGCATACACGCACACTGTGACCTGTTATTACTCAGCCTTATAAGAAAGTCTGCTTGAAGAACACTATCCTAAGTAAAATCAAGCAAATTCCGGCGAGCAAGCCCTACTTATCTCGCCTACTTTAGGCAGTAACTGTAACAGGCAACCAATAGCGAGAGCGGAACAGTGAGCTATAGGCTGGGAGGAGGGAAATGGGACATAGGTGTTCAGTGAAGTTTCGTTCCAGAGAAACGCTGTTAATACAGCAATGAGCGCTAATACCGTTCTGTGCTCTAGGACCCTCCCGAGGACAGACCTTGGGCCATCACAGACTAAAGAGCAAGTAAGGCACGCACAAAAAGAGAAGTGTGATTAAGAATTCCTTATAAAAGCAAAGTTAGAATGGCCACCGTGACTTTTGCAAACTAAAGAAACTTAATTTCTAATGCACAGGTCCCTACTTACTATTACTGAAGCAGAATGTTACACAAAGCTGGTATTAAGTAGTAAATATAAACTTATATACACCAAATGCATGGGGCAAGCTTGATGTGGCTAATTTAAGTCAGTAGCTACATGTAACCAAGCTGAATTATTGAGATATTCATTAAACTAATGCCTAAAATGGATAAAGAAGAATAAAATAAAATAATAAGTAAAAGCAATGTATAAGAAAAAATTAGGTCTAAGAAAACGTCCCTACATGCCAGAACCCGGCAGCTCCTCAGAACCCACCATGGCTCACATACCAGACTGTTCTCAGGTTTGACGATCTGGGGCTATGAACATGTTTTCTTCCAAAAGTTACCAGTAACCACCAATGACAACATTGCTATCCTTTCTCCCTGCTGGGCATCTGATTACAAAAGTTACACAGCCCATGTGGGGGTCTCCCCCATGATCTATACACATACCATGTGAAACATACACACACACAGTAGTCTTTCAAACTCCATACATCCGGCTCACCACGCCTCATCTGTCACGTGGTCCCCGCTCCCTCCCTCCACCAGGCAGGAGCGCACCTCTTAAGGAAGGCGCCTGCGCAGTGAGAGCACGCGTCCACTCACCTCACATTCCTGCTCCCTGGCAGAACAGGACTCACTGTCACCTTCTGTGTCGGTCTCAGAGTCATCGCCCAGGCTGATCACGCAAGCGTACGGACAAGGCTCCTGCGGAGGCTCCGCCACGTAATCGTAGTTTCCGATTTCCAAGTTGCTCGAGCAGCCTTCGGAACTCAGAGTACTTATAAAGGGGCAGTTGACGGAACTGAGAGTTGTGAAAGTCCGCTGACCTGGCTCTGGGCTCTCGCTGATCCTGATACCCAACCAGGGACACTCGGAGCGCCTTTGCGAGAAGCCCTGTTCTGAGCCCTCTTTGGCCGCAGCAGGTGACAACTGCGTTTGGCAAGTGGAGTCCGTGCTGCAAATGTCACTCCAGAAGCCTTTGGCCAGGTGCTCCGCCACCTCCCTCTCCACGCTGCTCCGATCACCAGAAGCAAGGCTGCTGCTGTCCTCTTTGGGGCCCGTCTCAGATTTCAGGTATAAATCCTGATTCTCACCGAACGGTTTCTCTTCCTGGGCATCTGGAGCTGACAAAGGTTTCTCTGCTTTCACTGTTTTGCTTTGCACCCCAGCAAAGCCCAAGTCACCCGACTGGTCGTAAGCGTGTAAGAGTGGCAGGGAATAGAGCCCGTGAGGGTCTGCAGAACTGTGAGGGAAAGGAGCCGCTTCTGTCTGCGCCGCGGGGCACTGAGGGGTGGGGTCTCTGCACTTTGTCTCCTCACTCTCCAGGGCTGGCTTCGCTCCTTCACATTTTAAAATCACTTGTAAATCTGCACAGCCTTGTGCTGCCCCCAAACACTCGAGTTCAGACGTCTCGTTCGGTTGGACAGAAGCGGCATGGACATCTTTGATGCCACATTCTAGAGTACGGATCTTGTCAGTTCCAAACGCTTTCTGGAATTTTCTGTACTTGGGACACAAAGATGGCAATGCCAGGGCTCCATCCTTCTCCAAGCACATGGCCTGGCACGTCTGACTGGCACTGTCCTGGAGAGAGGGCGATGCTTTCACATTGCCCTGACACCTTTGCGGGTCACACGGAGGGGCCTGAATACTTTTCTTTTCCAAGTACTCCTCTGCTTCAACGATCTCTAGATCTTTCTGGTCTGAAAGTGAGATTTTAAAGTCTGCTTTCTGACAGTGGGGGGAGAAGCATTTTTTCCTTGCACATTCTTGCTGCCCCGCGGTGGAGTCCAGGAACTTAAACTTGAGAAACTGAAAGCAGGACTCCTCGATATTGTGCACGCTCAGGAACTCCGCACACCTGCACACCTCATCCACGTTGTCTTTGCTTAGGATGAGCTTGGCAGTGTAGGCAAACTGAATCAAAGGTTCAAATCCTTTAACTGTCACCTGTTAACACACAAGACAAAAATAAACGTGTCACTCACCGCTGACTAGCAGCCTAACAGCTATGTAGCCAGGGCAGCAGGAGAAGGAGCAGCAGAGCCACGAACTCATCTGTGGTGGCTGGACAGGTAATTTGTAAGAAAAGATAGCCCCCGGAATGCAGAAGCAAGGGAGACTGGCAAAGTAGGGCCCACCCCTATTCAACAGGACTGAACCTCGCTATAGGAATTCTACATACTCCTTAAGACATAACCGTGATTTCTGCACTTGGAAAGAAGTCATCTATGAAATAAAGCAGGACAGATCCACTCATAGCCCCCAGGGGAAAACGGCAATGGCTTTGCCGGGTGTCTGAGGCTAGTGCCGTTCCCAAAGGCCAAACAACACGAGCAGTAATAAACTATAGAGTGGAATTTTTAAAAATGAGAAGTACTTATAAAATACTTATAGAAATACCTTAACTATCAAAAACAGCACAATACACCAAAGTATTGATTGGCGAGAGGGGTCAGCGATCATGGCACTGGCTGCTCTTGCAGAGAAGCCCGAGTTTGGTTCTCTGCACCGACATGGGGAAGGCTCACAATTGCTTGTAACTCCAGCTCTGGGGATTGGATGCCTCTGCCAGCACCCGCATTCACACACACACACACACACACACACACACACACTAAAAAATAAAAAAAAAATCTTTAAAAGGCGAGTACCGCCTTGTGCCAAATATTTCTAAAAATATTTTAATGATCCAGATGCAGAGGTTCTAATCCTGCCTCTGTACGGCTTCAGCAGAGACTCAGAGCTCTGGGAGGCAAGGCCTCCGAACACACCCCTGTGCCCTGTGCATTTACACCAAGGCTGTGTTTGCACGGCTGGGGTGGAAAGAGCCCGCAAATGTGCACAGAGCGTTCATCCTGGGTTCAAAATACAAACTGCACTTAAAACTCTGACCAAAGCGCTAAGACTCTCCTAAAACACGCTACTCTCACAGCCCTTAGCTCGAAAGTGCTAAACTAAACACCACCGCATTCTTCAAGAACAGCGAAACTGAGTCATTCCCAATGCTGGTAGGGAGGTCAAGTGGCCAACACTTCAAAAAGTCACTAGGTAGTTTCTTATTAAATGTGCAAAACTACCTTACGACCAGAAAAACATTCTGGTTTTTATCCCTAATTAATGAACTTTTTACAAAAGAACCTAAAACAACTTTTATCTGTAACAGATAAAAATCGAAACTAATATTAGTTCCTTCAATGGGTAAAGACGTTTTGAAGAGGAAAATTAAGACGTGACTGTTATACAGTATTCATCGGCAACACAGAGTAAACCATTGGTACAAGAAATCTGAATAATATCAAGGAAATTATCCTAAGTGTAAAAAGGGCAAAACACGGTCACATGGCCCTGCATTGTCCCACTTCCACGGCTCTTGTGAAAGGACAGAAAGTGGTGGCCAGCATCTAGAGTCAGAAGAGGGGAAGGGAGAATGGGGCCCAGGCGCGAGAAGGAATTAGCGTAAGCAGCATGCAGGATCCGCTGGTTCCAGATGGTAACTACGAAGAATACCGGAACCTTCACAGAACTCACAGAAACTAATTAATGCTCGTAACACTACAGCCATCTCATCAACATTCCTGCTGGAACATTACTAATTTTTCAGAACGTTACTGATGGAACACACGAGCATTATTCCTTAAGACCATACAAAATTTATGACAATCTGAACAAAATTTTCAATTAAACTTTTCCAAAATATGCTAAAACAACCAAATAATATATGTAATGTCTTCAACTTGTCACTGCGATGGAACAGTTCAAATATTTGAAAACATGATTTATACATCATCAGAATAAACATAAAACATACAAATATACACACTGTACATATTCTTATATATTAATATATACATCTTCTCTTAACAATCCATTAGAGAAACTTTGTTCTACCTCTAAAGACACATTAAATAGCTTAAACATGAACTGTAGAAAGCATGCCACCATTGGGATTCATGTTCTTATGTAAAACCAATGGTAGGTACCCTTGAGCCATCCCCCAACCCTACAGACACAGATGAGATGCAGCACTAGCCACAGGCTCCACTAGGGGTCGGTTTTCAGATTATCCAATTACACCCAACAGGGAACATGACACACTATGCCATACACCGGAAGTTCTACACACTTCCTCCTAGCCTCCTTAAAACCCTTTGGGTCCGATGTGAAAATATGCTAAGAGCAATAACTGCCCAAGCACACGCCGATAAACAGAGCCAGGAGAATCAGTGCAAGCAGCCCCACCTCACCGGAGACAAGCCCCCAGAAGCTAGGAAGATGGCAGAGACCCTAGTATTTACAAGCTCAAGTTACACAGACTGGGGATGGGAAGGTGTATGTAAAACAGGGCTAGGGCTCTACAAGGAAGACACTAAACTATTTTAGTTTTTAGCATTAATTTGTTTGTTTGTTTACTGGGTGGGTGTGTGCCAGCAAGCATGTGCAGGCTTCTGGTCTCTCCTTCCACTATGTGAGTCAGGGAACTGAACTGCGGCCAACAAGACGCCTTTACCAGCTGAGCCATCTCAGTGGCCAAGACAACAGGTCATGTCTTTCCTCCCAAAGAATAAAGACAATCTCAGGAAAAAGTATATCAGGGAGAAATACATGTACAGGGTGCCTGCTTTTCATGGGAGACGTCTTGAGAGAGAACGCACACACCCTGAACCTGTCACGGCTGTCCCGCCATGGGACAGAGTCACACAGCCAGCACTCTAAGCGAGAACCCTTCCAAATGGCTACCATCTATCAGGGAGACTGTATCCACATAGTCCACTGTCCAACAAGTATGAACATCCAAAGGGAGAACTTTACACGTCAATATTCCTACAACAAAAGCCAGAGAAGGGCTGCTACGGAAATGCTCCCCGAGATGTCCGTCTCCTCAGGGAGACTGGAGCTTGTGCTCAGTTCATAGTCAGAAAGTAGCTGGGTAAGAGTTGGTTGTGACGGCCAGCGCCGGCCCCTCACCTCTTCAGGCAGCGTGATGGTGAGCTCAGCATCAGTCTGGCCTACGATTCTCGAGTGGAAATAGCTGCTGCACGCAGCCAGCACCGAGCGGTGGGCTCGGAACCGCTGGCCCTCCACCACGACAGTGACATCGCACAGCACGTCCTTCTTCCGCTGGTCATTGAGGCTGAGCAAGACGTTGGTGCTGTGCACGGAGGACTCATAGGCAAACACTGCGCTCTCACTCACAGACATCCTGGGTGGCAGACGGGATCAGGGAGAGCAGTGGAAAGCATGCTTCTAACTGTCACCGACCTGCAAACACACAGGGAAGAAGTCACTTAACATATTCGGGGAGGGGGGAGAGATGAGTTTTAAACAACAAACTGTCAGCATGAAGTAAAATGTGTACTTGTTACTAACACAGAAATGGAGACAAAAGTCTCCGGAGGGACAATCTAGATTCATTCAACAAACTTCAAGCAAAGCGGGCTGATGACAGTAATTCTAATTTTAAGGAGTAAGAGCTTCCTAAACCCAGGACTTCCTAGATGTTTGAAAAATACTTAGCTAAGAGCCAAGGGCTGGCCAGAACCTTCAGTCCAAACCCACCCTCTACTTGGAGACAGTTCATGGGTATGGCCAGGTCACACGTTGGGATGGACACCCTGTTCACCCACAATGAGGAGCGATTAGGCACAGGCTTAGATTCCCATCCAGAGGCTCCAATCAACACAAGGTCAAGTGTACTCCGCAGCACAGGAAAAGCGGTCCTGTGTGTCAGGACACATCTTAGAACTCACTTTCCACATGCTGCACTCTGGGAGGTAAAAGTAAGGAAAAGCCGTGGTATCACCAAAAGCATGGTTTAGCCTGTACAGAAAGCCTTGGTTTCCTCAAATGTTACAAAGTAAGACAAAGTATCACCATTTGAATATAAAGTGGCATTCAAACAGTTTTTGAGCATGTGCACAATACCAGCCCTCAAAGAAAGGAGGTAACCCAAATCCATGTATGCTTATTATATCTGGCATGACCATTCTGATATATACACCCTGAGACACACAAGAAACTGCAATAAGAGTCTAAGGGATAGCATTTTCATGCGGTCCCCATGGCCTGTGCATCCCACAGATGACACCCATAAGCCTCTCTGCATCATTCATTTCCTCTGCCATCTAATTCACCATCTGATCCCCACTCTGGGGGTTAGTGAAGGAGAACTGCCATACAAGACAAGAAAGGAGAAACCAGAACCACGCAAGTTCACTCCACCTCAAAGCCCTGGTGTTCTAGTTACAAACACACACACACACACACACACACACACAACACACACAAAAAAAGGAGCGGTCAGATTCTTCTTAAAATGGTTCTTCTTGATTCCATTAGCAACAAGGAATTACTAAGAACTGCTAGGGATAGTTGAGACTAGCTTTCCCCAATCCTGTTGTCTCCTATAGGTGGGAGTTCCTTCAAGGCAGCTGCCCACACTGGCCTGCCGGCCAAGGCATCATCATAGCTACCACCCGCCCCATGATGCACCCAGGCTAAAAACCTTCAAAGTGTGTTAGTCATACACTTATCACGATCATTCTAGTGAACACCACACAGCCAAGTCAAAGTGTGAAAGCTTAGAGACTGATGTCATCAGTGTGCGATGTCGTCAAAGTTCTACGCGTGCCCTTGTCTCACCTCACAAGGGCTTTCCAGCTTGCCACGTTTCTCTTCCCCTTGGAAAGACAAACGGCACAGCATAACCTAAAGGTTCTTTGGATCCCAAGGTAACTCCCATGAAACACCACCCCCACCTCTGGCCTCGTGGCCACTGCTTCTCTGAGGTACAGTGGATCACAGCTTACTTCAGACTCAGAGAGAATCATACCTGGTTTATCACCCCTGCTCGGGCATCTTTCAGTCACAGATTACACATCATAGGTTCACGTCCCTCAGGAAGGACATGAGCATTCACACAGCCCCAAGTGCTAGGAATCCCAGCTGAGAGCAGCAAGCATCAGGAGCTGGAATAAAAAATGAGGACCCACTAAGGCCAGGGTCCCTATTGGTGGAGTAAGTACAGCTCACATTAGGAATTTCACTGTGGGACCCACTCCTCACACTTCTCCCTGCCAGACGCACATATACAATTCTATGCTGAGTCCCGGTGACTCTGCCTTACCATTGCGCTCTACACTTCTCTCCAGCTCTAACAGGAGCACTCAAGTCCTGTTTCTACAAATGCTTATCCTTCTACACACCTCCCAAGTTTACATGTGTGCCAATGTAGTTACATAAAATTAAAATATGAAAACCTTCATATATTAGCATTTAATTCTTACACCCATACAAAGTACTCTGATGTGCTCTTCATTTAAAAAAAAAATAATGCCAGGGCCTGGAGAAATGGTTCAGAGGTTAAGTGCTCTTGCTATTTCTTGCAGAAGGCAGGAGTTTAGATTCCACCACCCACTCTGGGCAGCTCACAATTGCCTGTAACTCCAGCTTCAGGGTATAATGCCTTTCCCTGGCCTCTGAGATCACCTACACACTTGTGTGTGTACACTTACAGAGATGCTCACACACACAAAATTAAAATTAAAAATCTAAAAGGTATAAAAAAAAACAGTTGTGATCGACTCAGTTTAAAGATTCCTGAGTGTCTCAGCACTAACAGTTGGGGACTGAGAATCTTAGATTAACTGGGATCAAACCCCAGCTCTTCCACAGCCGCATGGCGGCTCAGACAAGCTGATTAAGGAGTTGGAGCTCAGCCCCTCCCTGAGAGGTCGTGATATTTCTGTGGGATGACAAGGGAAAGGGACTGAGCACAGGGCCTGTCTCCCAGCAAGCTTTTTATGAAGGGCTGACATTAACAAAGCTCACACCACTCAAGTGATTTTGTCTCTGCCTGATCTTCCTTGCTGAAACCCTTAGAACTCTTCAAGTTTCTGAAAGTCATACCCAATTTCTTAGCATGTTCTTAAAAGTCGCGTGGCTGGAGGGCTCTCGGGGCACTCGCCAACCCTCTGCTCTCTCAGATCACTTCCACTTGCCCAGGCCACTCTCCTGTCACAGCCCTTCCCACCTGCCACTCACCTGCAGAGCCCAGAGCCTCCACTCTCCACATGCCAGCCACTTGGACGACTGCGGGCAACCGACTCTTCACCTATTCGGCCTCAGTCTAAATGTCACAATTCTGTCTAGACTGCACTCTGCCACAATCCAAGTACAGAAGACGGCACTTTGTCCAGCTACAGGTACTCGCTGCTGAATGACTTGACATTTTTAAGACAACCCAAACCCAGACCGTGGACACCTTCCGAACGTTCCACCCGTGACTGGAAGCGCACTGATCAGCCCTCACAGAATGAAGCACTTAGATGACTTTTCCAGAACCACAACTGGCCCAAAGGATCCCAGCTCAGGCCTCTGGGAGCTACGACAAGTGGCTGAGTCAGAGAACAGCCAGGACTGTAAACACCCTCACTACAGTGACTGGCAACAACAAAGCCACCTTGACCTCTGTCCTCCTTACAGCTGGGCAGTACCCAGGGGTGTCCCGAACTAAGCAGTCAGAAATCCTTTTACCTAACACCTTAACTACGTGATCTACGTGATGACCGTGCATTGCTACTAACATCCACCAGGCACCAGCCAACACTTCCCGAACCTAACAGCAAACGACCACACTCCAGCTGCTCACATCTCTAACTCCCGGGCAGGCACGGGTGTCTCAGTTCTAGCAGAGGTGCCGGCCTTAAACTGCTGACTCATTCCCTCAAGCTGACGAAGGATGAGCAAGCATTTCAGAGCTTCCTGGAATTCGGTTTGGAGATGTTCTGTTCTCTACCCTTGATGGATGAGTTACACTTTAATACAGTTGCTGTTTGGCTGGTGTTTTCACTTTCCAAACGACACCGAGACTAAGACAAAAGGCTAAGATTCATCACATCTTAATCTTCAGATAATGTACAAACCAGAAAGCTCAATCTGAGATGGCCTGAGATGGCAGGGTCAGGTCTGTAAAGCCTCACAGAGCACAGGTTTAGGGTGTGGCTTTATGGGGCCAGGAAGCTGCAAGAGGTACAAGGAACAGTTTGCCACAGTCTCAAGACAATGATGTGCGTCAGGTCTCAGTGCAGGGGGTACAGGAAACAAGACTGCCATCCAAACCTTCGGACTTCACTCAACAGTGACACAAGTTCTCTCTGTGCACTGGGTACCACAGGAACACAAAGGAAAGAAAGGCCCACTCAAAAATGTGACTTAGGTGCTCAAAATGAGCGCGAGGATCCAGGGTAAATAAGGCAGCAATTTAAGATACCCAAAAGTATTGATGGTAAGTATCAAAATAAAAGCTGGCCATTTTTCATTTAATTGTACTATTAATGTATTAATGAGAAAAATATGTATTAATGAGAAAAATATGTATTAACGAGAAAAATATGTCAAAAGAGTTTTGTTAATCCTGTGTGTGTGCATGAATATCCATATGTCTAGACAAGTACTGACGAAGGACATCAGAAATCATATTTAAAAACAGTCATCATGGCTTTTCTTCATAAATGACACTCTGGATCCGCAGCTGATCCAGTCCCCTGGATGTGTCTTCTCCTTGACACTTCTGTCTCCCCCATCAGCATCTCCTGCTGTGACTTCATGGCCACCTAACTGAAAGGCAGGGGGTTTGATGGCAAACTCCTGGACCTGGTATCTATCTTGACCCTTGATAAGATTCTAACTCCCCAAGTTAGTTCCTGTATCCCACACCAAGCTACCCACAATGGGAGTGTCCTGAAATCTGGGAGCTGGCCTTATGTCAATCTTTCAAGGAGGTGGCAGACAGCTGACAGACACACTATGGTTTGTACACATTTAGTCGTTTGGCCTTAAGGGCTTTCTTTTATTTTTCTTTAAAATGTTAAAAAATTAAGGTGAGGCTGCCCATAGAAAAGAATCCTCAAAAACGTGATTTTATTATTATTAAGTTTAAAAAAAGAACCTTAATATCAAAAGTTTGGTGGAAATTTAATCCAGCACTGTCTTCCTGAGACTTGGCTCACAGGCCAGGAAAAAGCCAGAAGGAGGAATAAAGCGGTAACAGAGAGCTACTAGTTCCTTTACCCTCTCGGAGGCTTAAATATCAGTCACCCACACCTGACAGCACATCTCCGGGTTAGCTCCCTTAGCCTCAAGGAAACCTAAAGTGGAACTCGCCAGGGAACACCGGTAAACTTATTTTTTTTTAAGCTCAAAGGAAGAAGAGTAAAGCAAAGGTGCCAACAGCACCATTCAAAGGGGCAAGTTTCAAAGGCCGGTGCTCAGGAAGACCCGGAGAGCGGGATTCAAATGCTCTACAGTTAAAGACGCAGGAACTTTTTAATATTCAAATTTTAAGTCAGCATAGAAAGCAGTAGGCTTCAGCACGTTGGTCCTGGCCCTCTCCGCTCCGGCCTCCCCCACACCTCTCCTCCCCCTAGTTCCCCTTCCCTCCCCTGTGGTGTCTTCCTGCCCCCCCTTCTGCTTTTGCAGCACATGGACTTTCTAAACGCAGAAAACGTCCCTAAGAACCTTGCACTGAGGTACAGCTTGATTTGGGCTGGGTCTCTCTCTTTTCCCAATCTCAGCAGTTACAGAGTTAAGTAATGGCCAGTCTTGTTTTGTTTTCTTGGTTTTTGTTTTCTTTGGGTTGTTGGGTTTGAGACAGGGTCTCTCTATGTAGCCCGGACTGACCTGGAACTCACTCTGTAGGCCAGGCTGCCCTTGAACTCAAGAGATCTCCTTGCCTCTGCCTCCCAAGTGCTAGGATCAAATGTGTGCCACCATGCCTGGCCTGTCATACATTTACTGGATTAAATGTTGTATATGAAATTGTAAGACAGAGTTGGGCTTAAAGGCGAGGAGCTGGAAGGTTAGGGAGCCTGGAGAGAGAGAGAGAGTTAAGTCTCCCACTGGGACATCAGCAACAGAAGGTTTCTCATATCCCAAATCTGCAGATTCATCTTTGCCTGTTCAGGGTCTTAAGTTCAGAAAAGCCTGGAAGACAGTTCAGAAACAATATGAAAGAAAACAACAAATTAAAAAAACAGAGGTACAAGCTGCAGAACTGAAAACCAAAGACACCCCATCGCTTTACCTGCTGCGTTCTTCCCTCAGAGAACTTAGGAAACAACCGGGTCTTTTGTTTGCCCAGTGCGCTGGCCAACTACTTAAAGTTTTACAAGGACCGTTGCATCTTTTATGAAAATACGCACAAGCCGCTAGAACCGGTCCACACCAACAAAGTATCCTTCCCGAATCCAGACTTTTCATCAGCCATCAGTCACCGTTATCAACCGTGGCCTTCACGTTACGCAAGATGAGCTGCCTGTGTTTGAGCTATGTACTTCAATGAGCTTTTATTTTGCTAAGACACATCTCATTACGTAACCCAGGCTAGCCTCGGCACTCCAAGTTTCAAGAGGCATGGAAAACTGTATATACACGAGGCTTTGAAAACTGTATATACGCGAGACCAGCAACGAGGCGTCTGGGTTTCTGAGGTCCCACAGAATCCACATGGCTCTCCCAGGCATCTCCTCCGTGCGCGTGGCTATGCAAAGCCGCTGGCCCGGGGTCTGCCACCATCACTGTACGGTAACACAGGGCTCCCTTTCGACATGCAAATGGATTCTGTCCTGTGATCTTTTTCCACACACACTGATGCTAAGAACATCTGATGTTTCTTTCTGCTGCTGCTGTTGGCAAATATTCCATTATGCAAATGTGCTACAATTTGTTCACCCACTTAACTGGTGACAGAGACAGATAAGTGACTGGTCTCAGCTGGGGATGATACTAAACTTAATAAAACAGCGTGTGCCTAGACACACACTCGCTCCGCATTCCCAGGGCATGGCCTAGGAAGACAAGAGCTGAGTGGCAGGGAGGAGGATGCTCCTTAGCAATCACACAATAGTTCCCTGATGGACTAATGCTGTTACCAGCAGTGTGCGGCAGTTCCAGTGGCTCTACACCAGCACTAACCCTTGGCGGTGCCATCTTCTGAATCTTGGCTATGGTTGTGTTCAGAGTATTTCACTGCGGTTTTTATTTGTGTTCCTGGTGGCTAGGTACCCTTGCATGTGCTTGTGTTGGCCATTTTTTATCTTCTTGCATGAAATAGGTTTGATTCTTCCTAGACTTTTTTTTATTACCTTTGAGTCAGATGAGCTAGTAGAATTATGATTAGGGTTGCAATAAAACTATTTATTTAGAGAGAACAGCTAACAAATTGAGCTCTCCAGCTCATCAATAGGGCTTCCCTCTCCATGTTCCAAAGACTTCTTTAATGTCTCTTAATGTTATAATGATGATGTCTGGAGCAAAGGAGGTTTGTGCATCTTCTGCAAATTTATTCCTATGCATTTTGTGGTTTCTGTAGCACTGTAAATAGATTTGAGCTCTTATACTTTATTTTCTAGGTTTACCATGTAATTGCAAATGTATTTCTGAGATATGAACCAAAATTCAACAACCTGAGCTAATTCATTAATTCTGGCAGCTTCTTTGTAACTCTTTACTGGTTTTTCTGTGCATAATCACACTATCTGAACACAAGCGATTTCACTTCTTCCCCTGGCTTATGCCTCCTCCTTTTGTTTCCTCAGGGCAGTGACCACAAGTGGTGACAAGGATGTCCTGACTCGCTCATCTATCAGGAAGTGTGCCCCGCCCACCTCCAATGCGGTAGCTATAGGTTTCTTTTTTAGATGAACAGCAAGTAATGGACAGAAAGTGACCACCCCAGTTAACTTAAGCCTCCTACAAAAAGTTCAAGGGGGGGGCTGAAAATCTCCCAAATTGTGAAATTCTGGGTCACTCTGCCTCCCCAAAGCCTGTATCATGCCTAACTTCAGACATCCCAAGATCCACAACCAGATGTCACTAAAGCGAAGACAAGAGAATTCCTAGAATGGAGCAAGGACTCCATCAGAGTCTCAGATGTGGGGCAGTGGCCACTCAAGGGACAAAGTAGCACTTGGTGTCTTCCCAGCCAGCTGAGCACGTTACTTCCTGTCTCTTACTGTTAGAATCAGAAGTTACTTTTCTCAGAAAAAAAAGAGATGGTATACATAATATGTTTAGGAGAATACCTGACGTATGATTTGATTTTTAGGCTATGAATGTGTGTTGTTGTTCTTTAATGCTCAGGTTGACACCAAGACAATGAGGAAAGAAATGCATTACCACATAGTTTAGTTCACACCCAATACAGCGCAGTTAAAATCATATAAGCACTGTTAACTGGTTCTCATGGTATGGCATTAGTTCACACCCAATACAGCGCAGTTAAAATCATATAAGCACTGTTAACTGGTTCTCATAGAATGGCATTAGTTCACACCCAAACAACACAGGTTAAAATCATATAAACACTGTTAACTGGTTCTCATAGAATGGCATCATGCTAGAGGACGGAATGAAAATATTACCGGCCTTGACAAAAACTGCTGGAGAGGGGACAGAATCCAAGAGCGCAGAAAGAGTGGTAGCATTTCTATGTGACTATAAAGCAATGTTCAGCTTAAATTAATGAGAACAAGAAAACAATAAAAAAGAGAAAACATTCAGAGTTGAGTGGGACAGGCTTTCAATAGCAGAAACAAAACTAACAAGATTAGTAGGGGGAGGGGACACAGGAAATGAACAAAGTGTCAGGTTGGCACATAAACATCTTTCAGACACAGAAGTGGTCACCAAAGAGTTCAACACCAGACGTGGATACTACATCTTAGCAGAATTACAACAGAGAACCAGACTGTTCCCTCTAACTTTTTAATACTTCAAACAACATTGTATCGATTTCACTAAAAACAAACTTGAAAGGTTTTCATAGAAATAGTAGCAATACCCAGCCCGGTTCAGTTAAACAGAAATTGCTGGTAAATTGGCTGTGAGAACAGATAAAATGTCTAAAGATTTTTCAAATAGGAAAGGTGTCTTAAAGAGAAATCAATCTTAAACAATGAATTTAGATTTTAACAAAAGAGGAGTAAGGGAAAGTGAGGAGATACAGCAAGGGGATGAATGGGAAGATCCTCTTGAAATTTCTTGACGCCCCCCATTGCCTTTGTGACAGCTAACATGGTCAATCTGGCAAGATCTGGAATCACCCGAGGCAAGCCTCTTCACTCCTGGGAGGGCTCTTCTCAATCAGACAGCCTACAATGGGACTATCCATTGGTGTGGAAGGTCCTTCTGACTCTGTGTTGCTTTCATTGGTTAATAAAGAAACTGCCTTGGCCTGTTAATAGGGCAGAACAGAGCTAGGCGGGGAAAACTGGACTGAATGCTGGGAGGAAGAAGCCATGGAGGCCCTGGAGACAGATCTGGGAATTTTATCTGGTAAGCCACAGCCATGTGACAATATACAGATTAATAGAAATGGGTTAAATTAATACAAGAGTTAGCCAATTAGAGGTTTGAGCTAATGGGCCAAGCAGTGTGTTAATGAATACAATTTTTGTGTGGTTATTTCGGGGCTAAGCTAGTAGGGTGGCCAGGACGAACAAACGAGCCCTCCTTCTATGCTCCATCTCAGCAGGGACAGCACCATGCAGCAGCAGCTGAATCTAAGGAAGCCCAATGGGAATGGCTTTCCGCTCTTTGCCTGCTTTCGTGTCTTACTAGTTGCTGCTGCCACTGTCACCGTCTCTCTGCTGCAGCCACCCCATGAAGGTATCAGAACTCAGATTTTCAGCCTTCCCACACGGAACGAAAACCAGTGGCTCTCGAGGAATCCCCCAGGCCTTCGGCAAAAGATGAGGACTGCTGAGGCGTCTGGCCTGGTGCACTGAGCAGCTCTGGTTCTCACTCGGAGTGCAAAGGTCACTGTGGGGCCACCCAGGCGATATCATGTAAACCAATCTAACTAACCCACTTTTAATATACAGCAGTTCTCGTGGTTGTTCCTCCGGGGAACCGTGGCTAATACACACTTGGGGTTCTCTGCTTTTCTCTCCCAGGAAGAGCGATCCACACTCACACTGTCTCTACTTCCCTCTCTGTGCAATCTCATGCCAGTCTGCCAAGGACCAATTATCAGTTTTTGGGCACAGCTACTTCAGCAATACTCCACCTTTTCCAGCTTCTCCCTACAGTCCTTAGGCTTCCAGGACCCCACAGTTCATGGACTTCCAACCAGCCTCTCTGGCACACTGCTGCCAGCTTTCTTTGGGGATCTCTGTTGATGACTAGTATTAATTATCAACTTGACAGACTCTAGAATCATCTGGTGGGGGCAGGGTCAGATTCTGGGCATGCCTCTGAGGGTGTGTCCCGAATGATGTGGGAAGACCTATCATTACTGAGAACAGGACCATTCCCTGGGCTCCCTGGGCAGAGGATCCAGTGTGGGAAAACTGAGCTAGCACTCTGGGCACATTCATCTCTGTT